TATAAATTAAACACTGGGAGTCTAATAATCTACTTACTTGTAATTCCTTATATCACTTATCAAATAGAGACATCTTTATGCTTATAGTATTAAAGTTAGTTAAAGATATAGGTATAGTTTTTCAAAATTGAAAATGATATGATATATTTGAATAAAATAAGAGAAATAGTCAAATCAATAAATACCTTATTTCAGATAAATATAAAAAAGCTATATATATTTTTTATTTTTATTTTTTTATACCTGTGATTAGGCCAGTACTATGTGTTTATTAATCATTAAGAAAATCAATTGAGATACATAGGGCAATTGCATCATGGCTAAACTAAAATCTTGTATTTATACACTCGTCAAATGGCTTTACATTCTCAAAAATGCTTCAGCCTCTAAGTGCAACTTTGGGAACAATATTTCACTCTGAACTAAGTTTTGGGTGAAGACCCTCCTAACTTATCTATCATTGCTAGCAAGTTATCACTACTTATTGTCCTCCAAGGAACTGAATTCGAGAAACTACAAAAGGGGAAAGGAAAAATAAAAGGAAAGGGAAATATCTAAAAATATGCAAACGCACTATATGAAAAAGAAAAAAGAAAAAAGAAATTTAAAATTGCTTCATGTCCTTCAAAGGATCTCAGCTAGAAACCTCTTATTATTAGGAATCAACTCTTCTGGGATATCCTTCTTTTTCCTAACTGTCTGAAGAACTTATCCATCTATGCTCTTGATTATTTTCTTGTGACCATCTGAGATACTTATCGCCTACTCAGATTTAGTGTCTTGCTCAATGCTTCCTTTCTTTTAGTCTTGATTTTTTATCCACCCACATAACACAGAACAACTAATAGTGGATCCCAAGTTCTTATGTGGCTTTTCAGTCTTGTTGTGTAACTTCTGATAAAAAAGCTATATATTTATTGAAAAACAATAGTTTAATATATATAGATTAATCAATTGATGTAGATACTAAAGAAATATGAAACTAGTTATAAACTTTTTTCACTGATCCTCTGACCACACACAAAAAAGATGTTCACAAGAAGTTTTTATACTTCCTTGCTAATAAAGTCTTAATACTTTCCTTAAAACAACTTGAAGTATGACTTTAAAAGTCACTTCTACCCTTCTCCTATTGTTTATAAACCTCTTCACTCAAAAACTTGACTCCTAGTGATTAAGAAAAGTCAAGCAATACCTTTGATACTAATAACAAGAAAGTTCCCAAAGGAAGAAAAACTGATTGTGAAGTACTTGAAGGCCTATTTAAACTTTGAAGTGAAAGGTATTTAGAGGTTTTTGATAACAAAAGGGTTTATTTTTTTCCTTCCAGTCACTTGTGGACCTTTTAAAGCTATTACTTTCATGATTTTCTAAGGAATTTTACCTATCTCAGTTTACTCTGAATTTTTGGTAGCACAAATCCTCATCAAAGGTGATTGACTGACATGAAATACATCAGTTTTTGAAATATAAACAAGCTCCTATTGGTCACACTCATGTGTCTTGATACATCATTGGTAATATAGAAAAAAAAGTTCTAGAAAAAGTGTCCCCTCGAATCATGTATGTTCAACCTTTAGGAAATAATTATGATATCAAAAGGCAAATGACAGACATGAAAAGAAGATTCAACTCTCATCTCTCATTAAGTTTCTCAAGTGGTAAAAAGGCTTTCTTGAACAAAAGCTGAGGTCTCCAATCTTCTATTCCAGTCAGACAAAGTTCTTGAAAAGATTTCTTTATTCTAGTCAGGCAAACTCTTCTGTAATATGGCACTGGCCTTAACAACAATAAGCAAATCCATACATTGGTAGAAGGATAAGTTCCTCAAACGTTCTTCTTGAAGTCACTTTCAGGAATGACTAAGTTCTTCAAACGTCATGAAGCTTAGAGAATATTCCAATCAGGCAAATCTTTTTCGAGATAAAACTATGAAATAGTGCAAGAACCTTTTGGAGGGCTTTGATTTACATTCTCTCTTCCCTTTTTCCCAGTGCCAACTTTAACAATTCATCATTTTTCAGAATAATCTACAGTGACAAATTGTTGACGATAACCCTGGTTGACTTAGAGGTACTATTGCCAGGCTATTAGGAGAGTGAAATATTGTTCCCTAAATCTAACTTAGAGTACCTAGTTTAGACTTAGTTTTGTTTAGTCTGAATTAGCTTAGTGGACTTTTCATATTTTTTAAGTAGTGTAGTCCTTTAACTAATAATATACAATAATGAGTTAGTCACTTTGTGAAAATCTGTAAAATATTTAGATATTTCTCAATATCTCAATAAAGATATGCCATTATGGCATAATTGTGGGTTAAAAAAAAAAAAAAACTAAAGAAATATGAAACTAAAGAATATTATAGCTCATATAGAATATAATTAAAGAACTAGTTTCAGAATAGTATCTATTAATAGTCAAGACTATATAAGAAAAGTAAATAGAATAGCTTATTAGATCTTGAAAGGTGGATTGGATAAAATAAAAACCAAAATATTTTATAATAAAATATAATCATGATAAATAATAGAAGTTATGAATTGTTATAGAAAATAAAAAAAATCAAGTTATTTGAGAAAAACTAATAAAAGAAAATACAAAGATAATATAGAAATAGAACACTTTAACTATTCAGTAACTGAAGAATATTAACAAGTAACAAGCCTAATAAAATATTTTGAATATCTAAAAGATATTTAAAAAAACAACTATTGTGTAATAATAATAAAAAGGAACAGAGTATATATAGCTTTTATATCCCAATACTAGAAAATTTACTAAAAGAGCCCAGATACTAAAGATTCAAAAAAGCAAGACAATTATAAAAAAAGAAATACTTAAGGTGATAAAAGAGGATCAAGAATAAATTTAAGCTACCAAAGTAATAAATATAGAGATAAAAAGCCGAAAAAAAATTATTAGAAATAATATAATAGAAGATATATATCAGTTCTACTTGATAAAAATACTTCAGCAAAATCAAAAGTTAAATAAAGTAATGACCTTCTATTCTGATGGATCACTGGTCAATCATGAAAGTGGATAAATGAAAATAGAAACAGCATAGATTTAAATAGAAGAAATAGAAAGAGAAAGCAAATTTCAGATAGAAGTAGAAAAATGACTATTATTAATAAAGATAGAAATGACAGTAATAGTTATTATATTGCTGGTTGTCCGTATTGAAAGTAGAGTCAAGATCTATATGAACAGTCAAACCTATATCTCAAAATAAAAGGAACTAAAGAAAAAAGATCTCAAAAAAATATATAAATGATGATTAAAAGAAAAAAACTGGTCTTTATGAATGTGAATGCTAGATCATGTAGAAAAAAAATACTTGAACCTGAAATTAATTAAGGTTAAGGTTCATTCTGATAATAAATACAATTAAAAAGTAGAAATCATGGTCAAAGAAGCATTTCAACTTCCTGTAATAGAATGGAAGGATCTCATATTATTCAAAATCATTACAAAAATTAAATGAAAAAATATATTACTGGATATTTCAATAAGGCAATTCATCAAAAAAGTAAATAGCAAGATAATAGTCTATTAATAGATGCCACAGAATAGAATACAGAAAAAATAGAATTAGCAAATACATAATCAGCATAAATATACTGTATATAGAACTTTATATAGAATAGAATGAAGGATGGATATATGTAAAACACTTTTTTTAAAGACTTTAAAAAAAAAGTTTTCTTGAAAAAGTGATAAATGATGAGCTACTAGCTCTGACAAAACTAACAATAAGAAGATTAGATTTTTATAAATAAGTAGTATGTATAAAGTGTAACAAAGATATAGAAATAGTGAACCACTTAATAGAATATATAGCAATAAAAAGCAATTACAAAAAGTATAGGTAAAAGGATTAAAAGAGGTACTAAAGAAATTTAAGAAACTTTTTCAAGAAAGAAAAAAAGAAATAGAAGAAAAGGATATATAGCTAATTACAAACAATAAAAAAAAGAGAAAAAAACTAAATAAACTAATTTTCAAACTTATAGAAAAAGTTTTCAAAAGTGATTATAAAATACTAAACCTTTGTATGTGACTTATGAGAAGTGATTGGTTTATTGTAATGACTGATCTCAAATATTGTAATAAAAAAATAGAACAAAAAGCTCATAAATGAATTACAAAAATATAGAAGAAGATTTGTGATCATATCTGAAAAGCGATCTACAGTACAACAAAAAATATATAAGAGTAATTGAATAGAAATGATTATAGGGAATTAATAGAAAGAATAAAGTAAGAAGACCAGGTTTGAAAGTTCAAAAGATCAAGATCAATGTTAAGAAACTATTAATTCTTGAAGAAGAAAGATTGAACACAAGAATCTAAAGCAAATATTAATAAAAGAAATTGAATACAAAGTGAACTGGTTGGGTTTTGACCTCTGTCAAAGCTTTGCAAAGTAATTTGCAATAGTAACTTATAGACAATAATACTAATAGTTGAAGCATATTTACCTAAACTATTAATGAAATAATAAATCACTTCTGAAGTTGTACTTAAAGTAACAATAGTCAAGATGAATGAGTTAGTTAGAGATTTAGCTTTAGCATCACATTGATATATAAAGTCTACAAAATGTTTAATAAGGCACACATAACTAGCCTGACAGAGGAAAAGAAATCATTATTTAAATTCAAACTAAATTTTTTTTAAAAAAATAAACTTGAATAAAAGTTATTGTATAATATATTTATAATTTATTAATTTAAAAACAAGTAAAAGAACAACAATTAATATATATTAATTTAAGTATAATATAAAAAATTATAAATAAAAAAATTCTTTAATTATAACGTTAAACTTTTAAAAAAGATTAATATAAATTGATAAATCATTGATTGCTATCAATTAAAAAATCAATTCTATAATTCAAAAATATTTTTATTTAATATACTGTATTTATATTTTTAAAAATTAAAATTTTACATTATAACTTAATAATCTAAAACAACTTTCATCAATCAATGAAAATGATCGCGTATAATATAGAATAGATCGCTGGATCCGATCATATGTATCATACACAGACTAGAGTATGAAATAACATTTTTGTGCAAGGTTTAGAAAGTTAGAATATGCCCAATATATACATTTTACCATATTATCTTCGGTTCGTGATAAGTGATTACTTATAGATTAAAAAAAAAAAACACACGTACAGTATATTCGTATGTAGTATGCAATTGATTATCACTGGTTTTCTTTACTTCATTATTTTAGGCAAGAATCAGTTATGTTTGGTGTTACGTGTGGATATAGTTCAATTGCTTCCATATTTGACCAGGTGGTGGTACAACGTCACATCGCGCGTGATCTGCGGGAGCACAAATAGTTGCGTATCTTGTGAGATACGCATTCATGATATCACACACATTACCATTTATATATGGTATATATAGGATCGATTAAATACTTCTCTTGATGGTGTCAGACTGTGTACCGAAGCGCTGAGAAGAGTACGGTAGATAAATTTCACGCCGGAGCACTCTTTTTTTTCTCCTTCTGACTTGGCAATCAACCGATAAAGTCATTATTCTTTGTGGAATTGTTACACACGTAGGGAAATGAGTAAACCTTTCATTTCAGGGTCACTCCTGAACTAATTCTAATCGAATAATTCTCCTTTCTTCTCTCCGCACAGTTACTCTGATCTAGGAAGAAGAAACTATTAATCTTTGTATGCTGCACACTTGTTGAAGTTCTGACGGAACATAGACGAGTTTTAACTCAAAATTGTTATGAGTTCAGTTTCCGAAGAAGACGATACAAGTTGGCAAGACGCTAATGATTTTTATAATCGAGTTCGTCAGAACATTATAGCTTTCCTTCTATTTCTTTTCCTGTACTCGACATCATATTCTCTGCTGCAACGGTTTCGCAGGAGATACAGGGCTTCGGATGCAGAAGACGAAGATGAGGACTTATTTGGCATCGACAATTTGATCATCATAGTGCTATGTGCCGCAGGATTGGCAATGGCATTGGCTGGATTCCTGCTATTACCTTTCACCATGATCGCAACAGAGTTGCTGCACGATGACTGGCATCACGAAAATTATTACTTGAGCTGGTTGGACATCAAATTATTGGAGACACTATGGAATTATACCTTTATAGGCTGCAACATTGCTTTGTTTGGACTGCTTCCATTTGCATATTTTTATAATGAAACTGATTTGCAAAGAAACTTTTTCGCAAAGGCTAGAGACACGTTGACTATCATGTTATTGGTTGGCTTGTTAATGTTTGCCTTCATCTATGTGACCAAGAAGATCCTTGGAATTGTGGGCATTCACGAATTGATAGTGTTGAATTTGTTGACTTGTTTAGGTGGGGCTGGTATTTGTTTGAAAGCAACTCCAAAAGGTTACATTGAAATATTCTCATGGATCGGCCGACTTCCTTTACGACCAAATTATCGTAATTTTCTAAATAGTCGATTGCACCAGATTAAAATGGAGATTGGGGTTTTACAACAAAAGTTGGAAAACTTGGATCGTGGTTGGAAGTCATACACTGATAAAATGATATCTCGATCAGCCTCCATAATTCCCATGACGTCGCATTGCCCTTCTTCATCTGATAGGTTGTATGCATCCATGAACGGTTATTCACCGGCCAACGTCGCATCAAGAACGGCACACTATATCAGTGCAAGCAGGAGAGATGTGTTAATAGCACTCAAGAGTCTTGATGCGGAGCAACGTCAAGTTAAGCTCGACCTCGCGCAGTCTCCTTTATATCGCAACATAACTTTTGTTGTCCTTTTTTTACTTAGTCATTGTATTTGGATTCTTTTGCTGGTGCACATCTCGTGGGCAATGATCAAGAGTTTGCTCGAAGTTGAGGGGCAAAAGGATCTTTACAAACTGGAAGCCGTTTTCGGAAAACAAACCGTGTCGATGTTTGGAAAATTTGGGGTATTGAGCGATCTCGGATTGATTTTCTACTTTACCGCAGCAACGATCGTCGGAGTCTATTCAATCAAACCGTTTAAGAAGATCCGCCCCCGATGGGGTCAAATGAATGTCCAACATATACTTGCCAATGTCACTGTGTTACTGATCATCAGCAGTTCTTGGCCAACGCTAGCGACCATATTGGGTTTAACACGACTAACCTCGGCGGGACCGTATGATCATTTTTATAAACTGAATGCAGGTCCTTGGCTCGCTTTCGCTTTTCGCTTTGGTACCATTATAACCACTGTATTTTCACTTTTGAATTACTACGTCCTACGAGTTGGAATGACAATGATCGGAAACTATCCTCATTCCAACGGAGTCTTGCATAACGGCGCGGTTGCAAGAAATGGATATGTCACGCGATAATCCATGACCACGGGCAATTATTCTTTTTTTTTGTATCGTGACGGTCAAAATAACAACCAAAGTTCATCAAGAATATGCCTTCCAAAATTTTCAATCTCTCTTTTTCTTTTGTATAGACTCAACTACCATTATTCAGATATTATATATACATTTTAGTCTTGACTGGTTTCTATTCATTATATCCTAGTAATATGTAAAATACGTACAATTATATAGACTTTTCTATAGCCTTCCATTTTCTTATACAAATATTCCACAAAACCATATTTTTATTTAATGATTCCGAGTCACGTGAAAAATAAAATCACGACTTAGGTTTGGTATATATTAATTATATTTTGATTAGTACTCGGGGTACTGCATGCTGTAAATGTATAAGAACTATATTAAATACATAAAATTTAACAAATTTAATTTTTTTTTTTTTTTTTTTTTTTTTTTTTTTTTTTTTTTTTTAACCCGCAATCATGCCACAATGGCATGTCTTTATTGAAAAATTAAAAATAAATTTACAATAT